AACAAAAAACTAAGTCCGCTCGAGCTCAAGAAGGCCAGCTCGAGTGTCAAGACACAAGAATAAAGTACATCCGCTCGAGCGCGAAAACCAGTCCGCTCGAGCGTAGATTTCCCCCTTCCAGAACTTACACCAAAAAAGTACTAACCGCTCGAGTGCCAACAAGCCCGCTCAAGCGCAACCCGCTCGAGCATAGGAAATCCGCTCGAGTGTAGAAATCACACCTGCAGGAGTTTTGTAGACAACGAAAGTACTGAGAGTGTGCAATCTTCGCTCGAGCGCCAGACGACCCGCTCGAGCGGAAAGACCAAAAACCTGGCAACAAGGATTTAGACCAAGGCTCGACTTACCTGCTCGAAACATGCCCAACACATCCTAAAACTCAATCAAATGGAATTAAAGGACGACAACAAGGTAGACACAACTACCAACTCCACGGAACCGAGTTCGGAATGCAACTGAACAGTAAAGGGAATATCGGAACCGCTATACTATGACTCTTTGAGACCAGCAAAAGATTGCCACAACAAGCACTTTGAAATTGCAAAGGAAATTGTAAGTTAAATAAAATTTCCTACTTAGTTCCATTCCTTTAAAAACATCTCAACTCATCACTATAACTAACGAAAACACCCACTAACTATTTTGTAGCAACAACATCAACTCAGATGGAATAAAGCATTACTCAGCAATCAAGGAAACATGTTATCATCTCAAGAGTGCGAGACAGTAATTGTATCAATTGAGGAATGCCCACAACAAACCCCATACTCGTAAGATACAAAATCAATAAACTAATCTTCCAATATGCTAAATTTTGCAGTTTTACCTAACTAATTAACTTCATCTAAAACTTTCCAGGAATGATTGTGCAATCGCCGTCTGTAATATTATCAACTAATATATCAACTGGCAACCTGTGCAGAAATCACTTCGACAAACTGAGTGGGTCAAATTTTGAGCAGAAATCATCAGCCAATTCCTCAATGATGAGAACCAATCTTGGAAACTCGAGCACTATCAAATGTTGACAAAACATACCAAACCATAGAAACAATCAACAAACTTCTTGACAATACAAATATTCAAGTGAACATATCTTTGTACTTTTCTTTTCTTCTTCTTCTTTTTTTTTTTTAAAACATGTGACAAATAATTTATATACTTTTGGAAATGATCTTCTTCTGGTTATTATGGTGAAAATGATTGTTGTCATTGATGTTGTTGTTGCTCTTCTTCTTGTTATTATTGTTGTGCTTGTACTTATGATTATTTGTGTACGTGTTTATGGTTGCATATATTTTCATACAGTAAAGGTTGTTTCTAATAATTCTTCAAACTGCAAAATTATGTAGTTTCATCAGGTTGTTTCTAATAATCCTTAAAGCTGCAAAATTATGCAGTTTCATCAGGTTGTTTCTTATAATTATTAAAACTGCAAAATTATACAGTTTCATTACTCAAACAAAATTTATGCTACACAATTATGCATTCAATTTCACGACTCAACAAATAGATGAACTACATTTTAAAATTGAAAATAAAACTACAAAATTTTACAGTTTTCTTGCTATAAAATATGAAATAAATGAATCATGTAGTAAAACTGCATTTCAATATTATACAGTTTCAATAAGAATTTTTCAACAATCTTCTGTGCATTTCATAACAATAAAATCAACCAAACCCACAAAAAAAACAAAAAAACAATAAAAAACAAAACAAAACTGTTACAAAACAACTTCAATAACTAAAAAACACATCAAAAAACAAAAAACAATTCAACCAACTTTATTCATTACTTCCATAATACCAAGTATCACATTTTTTATTATCATAATTCCTCAAATTCAAATACAAATCCAAAAGAATAAACTGTGGCCTCAAATAGCAGCCTTGCACGTTTTCTTATTGTGATTCCCATATTTCAAGCACCTTCCACACTTGATTTGCTTCACATTCTTACCCCTAGAAGGTATCCTCTTCTTCTTGTTCTGCCCGGGCTGCTTCTTCATTATAGGAGGTTTGATAATCAAACTACTGGCACCATCAAAGTCAAATCTCTCACTTGAAGGTACTGGATAAACAGATTCCTTGTATGACTCTCTAAAATAATCTACATGCAAAAATGGATCAACGAAATCATACACATCTCTACCACTACTACGCAAAGCATGCACACCATGACAACAAGGAAAACAATTCAATTGCCAGTCATGGCAAGAGCAAGTCTGTCTACCAATATCAACATAAAAATAAATAGAAAAATGAACGTCAAGCACAGTATCACTAACAACAATCACATCCCAAGACTTAGCTAGCTCCAAAGAGTCCACCAACTTCTTTTCCATAACAGGACACAATTTCGTAGTCCATCTTTTAGATTCAGCTCTTCTATTCGACAATTGAGTCATGATTTGAACCCTAATCATATCAATCATATAAGTAATAGGCAACTCACGGGCCCCACCAATCCAATTATTGTAAGACTCGGCAGCATTAGATGACATCTCACCATATCGTTTCCCTCTAAAAAATGCATTCGCCTACTTATCATTTTGCAAACCATCCAACATACTATCAACTCTACTATTCCCAGCAATACGCCTCAATTTCTCCATATAATGTTGGAAAGAAGCAACCGTTGGCGCATAAACATATTTAACTAATATTTTCATCAAACTCAGCTTATAGTTAGTACAAAGTCCCACCAATTTGTCAATCAAATTTCTCTTCAAATGATTCAAGCAATATGCATGATGTGCATTAGGAAAAATCACAGAAAGAGCGCCTAGCAATCCATGTTGATGGTCCGACACAAAGGTCAATCTCCGCCCTGAACCAACACCCTTTAACAACTGACTTAAGAACCACGTCTAATTATCTTGATTTTCAGCGTCAATAATCGCAAAAGCCAACGGAAACAGACCTGCAAACAATATAACATCAAACTGCAAAAATTAGCAAACTCACAATACAATAACACACTGACAAACCAAATCTATACTAACTGCAAATAAATACATACCTTGATTACCATCCTTTGATGTTGCTGCAAGCAAATGTCCCTTGTAACGCCCCTTCAAGAATGTACCATCAATAAACAACAACGGACGACAAAATTGAAAGTCATACAAACATCCATGAAATGCCACAAACAACCTCCGAAAACACTCACTACTTTCATCCACATCTAATTCAAGCACACTTCTCGGATTCGTTCTCATAGCCGTCTCAAGGTACCATCGAAGTTGGTCAAAAGAAGTTGCAAAATCACCAACAACCCACATTTTGCCTTATCAACTCCTAACCATGCAACCCGATAAGAAACATCTATACTATATTGCTTCTTTAACTTTTTTTTTAACTTCAATAGGACGAGTTAATAGATTATCACTAATATCATTTTGCACAATATCAGACACAAGTCTAGAACCAACCAGTTTGCTACAAGATCTACGAGCCACAACCCCACAAGTATGCACATTATCCAACTTCATTATAAAAAAAATACCAGAATTCATCAACACCTTTCCATGCACAAACCATTTACAACCAGTAGACGATTTCATCACACATTTAGTAGTTACTCTTGTTGCACCATTCTTCAAATAATTCACTGCAAAACCACACTCAACTACATACTTAGCTAATGCAATGCGGAACGCCGGCACTCCATCTTCAAATTCTTGACCAACACTATGGATAATCCCCTTCCAACTAGCAGACAACAAAACTCTCTCTGGTTCTGGATAAAAACTAGGCAACAAACCACCAAAATCATCACAATCGTTAATCAAAGAACTCTCACCAATTACATAATCAATCCTACAAGAATTACCATCATGAACTTCCACAATTCTCTTATCATCCACAACAACATCAACAACATGACAACCACTACCACTTACCATTGACAGCATATTCCACAAATCATCGTCATATTCAACAATACAATTAGAATATCCAGCAATAGAGAAAAACAAACAAAAGTTAACAACACTCAACTCCTTGAACTTCATACATATTTTCTCAACAACTTCATCATAACTACATCCCTCACTAATCTTAATAGCAGCACAACAATTACTGTATTTGCACATTAACATGAAACACCCCTCCATACTACAAAATCACAAACCAACGAATAATTGTTCACATATTCCAAACTGTAAAATTATATAGTTACAACATATTAGTACCAACACTGCACAATTCACAATTTCAAACTGCAAAATTATACACTTACAACATATCAGTATCAAAACACCAGAATTCACAATTCCAAACTATAATTTCAAAACACATTACACTATACAACAAACTAAATCAACAAAATCAAAATCATTACACTATATCACATATAAAAATCAAATAAAATAAATATCAAACAAACAAAATTTATCACAAAACAAAAAACTAAAACAACATTGCCAAACACAAACCAAATATCACGCAAATTTACTTATCTATATATACATACATATATGTATACATACATAGAGATATATATATGTATATGTATGTATCGACAGATACATACACATACATATATATATCGACGATACAAACCAGATACACAAAGAGGGAGAGAGAACGTACGCAGAGATCGCCTGTACACAAAGATTCATATCGCACAACCAGATCTACCTCACAACACAATGAGATCGACCACACAACACAATGAGATCGCTATAACGAAGAGCAATCGAGATCGCACAGACTAAAAGATTTGATTTTCTTTTTTGAACGGAACAAAAATTTAATTTTTCACGTATATATAGATCTCAAAACAAAGAATAATACAATCATTTACAAAATATAAAAATAAAAAATAAAATCTCTACATATAAAAATTAAAAATTGTGAACCTATTAATCTATTAAAAATATATTAAAATTAGAAGGGAAATAGATCCCTACATGGTCCCTGCTTAGTAATTCTCCCTTTTTTCTTCTTCCGAAGAAGTTCCATGTCCTCGACGACACTTCCAGTGGATTCAGTTTCGCTGCTCTCTCCCTCTCTCTCTCTCTCTCTCTCTCTGTGTGCAATGGAAGTAATTGGAGAAGACGAAGGCAATTTCAAACCAATCAAATCTGAAGAAGGAGAAGAAGAAGTTTTCGAGGAAGAAGCTCGCACAAGAACGTTTTCAGAGCTGAAAAACTATTGTTTAGACCTACTAGACCTCCTCCAAAACCCTAACAAAAACCCCTCGTCTCTCTCTCAACTCCATGACTTCCTTTCCCGATCTGCGCCCCATACTCTCCAGCCTTTCTTCGAGTATGTTCTTCTTCATCATTTACTTCTTTCATATAAATGTACTTGTGCTGTGTGTATATGTATGTATATGACTGTGTTATGCTTTAGTTTCTTTTTCATTGATTCTGCTTTTTTTTTTTTTTTCCTTCTTTCTTAGAATGTTCCAAAGCGAATGGCTTTTTGCTAGGTTTTTGATATCCTCTCTTTAGTCGACAAGAACAATTAGGATTAGAAAGAGAACATTAGAACAATGTTTCCGTTGTTTCTATACAATTTGAAAACTATCACCAGAAATTAACAGTCGCAAAGAGAACTTCGGACAAAGTATGATACTTTTTCTGTAGTTCTGTGAAGATTATTTGGCAGGAGAGTCAAAACAGGGCAATCACTGAAGAAGCTGAACTTTGAACGGCCCCGATACATTTAGGGTTAATAAGAAATTACTAGACTTGGGATCAAGTTAGTGACATAATTAGAGTTAGCAATGTCAAATGTGTGATTGGTGGCCATGGACCTGGTCACCCTTTCACTTTAGATGGAGAATAAAGAGAATGAACAACTCGTTTGTCATGGACGGAACTGAAATTGGAACCAATGGAGATTGTGTAAGAGCTTACTTTTGGTGCTGCTGCTGTGGACAAGATTTTTCATTGAAATTGTAGCATTGCCATGCTGTTGTTTGATCATATTATTGCTACCAAATTGGTGCAAATCTCCTATGGATGGTGGTGGAGTGCCTGAGCTTTTAGTCTTTGGTTGATGTTTCAAGCTGCTTTATACACATTAGGGAATGCGGTTAATTTGAATCTCTTCCACCTTTGGCTTTTGTGGTGACTGTCGGCAATTTATTCATATAAATTTATTTAGTTTTGGTAAGCATAACAATTTATATATATCACCAAGGGAAATGGACACAATTTTATTGATTAAGATTTATAAAAAGGTTTAAGTCATCATAATATGAATAGAAAAATTATAAAAAAAAAAAACAAAACTGGATGATTGATACGTGCATAAGATATGAAACCATATGATTCTTCTACAGACTATAATCATTTGATCTAATACAATGTTGGCAAAGTAAAATTCGAGAGCAGATTATAAGGCAAGCAGAAGAGTTGAAAATGAACAGATTACTACACATTGTGATCCTCTGTACTGAATTCTTGAAATCAAGTAAGCAACAATTAATACTACAATAATTAATATTGTATCTATTTCTAATTATAGCTGTAGTTTTCTGCTTGTATGGCAGTAGAATCGGTACATGTTCCAACACAGTAACTTCTGCTAGTGGAACTAGAAAGGTTGGATTTGCTTTCTTATGATTATTTGACATGTGGCTTGTTTATCTATTTTTTTCAGCTATACATTGTTTCCGTTGCTGCTTCTGTTGGATGCTGCAGTCAATTGCAGATCTCCACCAAAGGCTGAGGAATCTGTGATGGTTAATTTTCCAAAAGTGTTACATAAGGTCAGTGATATTGCAGCTGAAGGTGTGCTTCAATGTTTGGAGGAACTTCTGAAGAAGTGCCAATTAGGATCCGTCGATCAGGTATTGTCATTGAATGCTATTTGGGTTGCAATACTTAGAAATGTGCCACTTTGACATGCTTCAGTATTCAATGGTTAAATTAATATTCTACTTTATGTGCTGTAATTGTTTCTAATCCCTCACTGTTGTGAACCTGTCTATTGTCTAATAGGTGAATACATGTTCAAGTCATTTGGGGGGGAAAAAAAAAAGATTTAAAAAAAGAATCCATCTGAACTAAGAATGTTGCAGATGGAGATATCTAGGAAGAATTGAAGTTCATTATTGTTTCCTTAGTCTTGGTTGTCTTTGCGATCAAATGATGATAAGTACTAACAGCTTGGTATTGTTGCTCAACCAATGCTTTTTTCCTCCTGATTGGAAATCTATGTTAACTGCGATGGCACTTCATTTTTTTGGTGGTTTATGCTTCTGATTGATTTTAAGTTGTTTTAATCTGCTATTAACTATTGAGCGTCGTCGGTTTTGTCCATGAAAAGCTTTCTTTGCATCTGTGGACGGTAATGGGTTATGATTGTTAGTTTGTTTTTGGCCACTTCACAATGTTAAGTTTGTCATACTATTGTGCGCTGGGTATGTTCTGTAGTCAATGAAAGTTGCGGCATGTGGATGTTATAGCTTCATGATACTCATGACTTAAGTTAGTACTTTGGCCTCGTTTGGGAATAAGCTATTTTAGTAACTTTTTGGCTTTTTACGAAAAGATGTGCAGAAAGTAGAGAGAGTGATGTGATAACTTATAGTGACTTTTTGGCTTTTTGGCTAAAATAGTGACTTTTTGTCTTTTAAATCTCTTGTTGTTAAGTGACACATTGAGGTCATAAATACAAGGCCCAGAAAGGTTTCGTATGGAAACTGATTACCGATGGTTTTGTAACAAATGATGCTGCAGATTTCCATGAGAGGCTAAAAATCTCTTTTTGTTGTTATTAGTGAAGCCCTTTTTAGATGATACTATCATAAAGGTATGCATGCAGTTTATTAGGCAAATTTTGTCCTACAGCGGTGAAGTTTTTAACTTTTGTTTGCTTGTTGGTGTTAGAATCTTCATAGAGTCTTTTTGCAGGAAAATTGTATGTAATGATCTCTTGTAGACATTTTTCAACGTAAAGGATGCTCTATGGTTTTACAGGTGGTGGTATTGTTGAAGAAATTGACATATGGGGCTATGCTTTCTCCGACTGAGGTTTCGGAAGAGTTCCGTGAGGGAGTGTTCAGGTGCTTCAGGGCACTTCTCCTTAGTTTACATTTGTGCTCCAACAAGTTTTGTTCATGTAAACAAATTAACGGCTTTCCCGCACTTTTAGCAAGAAGAGATGTGCAATCTCAAATTAGTATACTTCCAAGGCATGTTTCAGAAACAGAAGAATGCCTACTTGCATTTCTCCATTCTCAAACTGCTTCTGCTGCTATTGGTCACTGGCTATCGCTTCTCCTCAAAGTAATTTATTTCGTTTCTTGGAGCTTTATTGAGTATTTATTTCTGTTTGATGTTTCCTTATTGTTCCTTTGTACTTGTGCACATAATTTTCTCTGGCACAATCTTGGGTTCTATGAGAAGGCTGCAGACATTGAGGTTGCACGAGGACATCGAGGCAGCGCAAAGCTACGTGTAGAAGCCTTTATGACTCTTCGCATACTTGTTGCTAAGGTAATTTTGTGACATTTTGTCAGTCTTAATGTTTGATTTAGAGGTGATCCCTGAGTTGTGTCTTCAAAATGAGATGAGATTCTCACTATGAAAGGCCTTAAAATCTCATATTTGAAATCATAGGAGTTAAACTGAAATGTTAAATAAGAACTAAACTTTACTAAAGAGCCTAAAGGCTTGAACCTGAAGTTCGATTCCATGCTAGAAAAACATGTGAGAAATTTCAATGACATAATTCCTGGGTGGTGGAATGAAGTTATAATTGTAAAAATTGATTCTCTTTTTTCCTGGTGAGATGATGTTGTTTCTTGAGCCTCAATCAGCTTGTATCTCTCTGATAGCTTGATCTTTGGCTTCATTACCAGTTTTCCTTATCAAAAGATTATGTGCTTTCTGTTTATATTAGATTATTTAATTTTAGCTCAGTGATTCCTCTTGCTTGCTTTGCTGGTGCAAAATTTTGTAGTTGACATAAATTTTATGAATGGCTGTTTTGTTGTGTTTTCTCTTGTAGGTTGGTAGTGCTGATGCCCTAGCATTCTTTTTACCAGGTGTTGTTAGTCAATTTGCCAAAGTGTTGCATGTCTCAAAAACAATGATTAGTGGTGCTGCTGGAAGTGTGGAAGCGATTGACCAAGCAATTAGAGGTTTGGCTGAATTCCTTATGATAGTTCTCGAAGATGATGCTAATTTATCTGGCCTTGATATGTCTGTGAATGTTAGTACTAGCTTTCATTCAAATAAGGATGAATCTGCGGTATCATTTCTGGAGGAACTCCGCCACTTGCCTGTTAGAACTCAAGGTCAGAGTGAAATGGTTGTAGAAAATCCAAGTGAAGCAGTACACATGGATTCTCCAAAATTTGGCTTCAAAGAAAAAGAGAGTGTAGATTCGGGCAACATGATGGGATCTTTGCTTGTGAGCCGCACAAAAGATTGGCTTATTAAAACTTCAGCTCACGTGAATAAACTATTGTCTGCAACTTTTCCTCATGTGGGTTCTTACAACTGTTTTTGTGTCAGTTATTTGCCATAGTTATTTTACATGTGTTTCACTTACTTCTTTTCACATGATGACATATAATCTATTCTTCAATTGCTAATCCTCCACACGGTTGTTAGCTTTGTGTTCATTCGGCAAAAAAGGTGAGACAAGGACTTTTGGCTGCCATTCGGGGACTGTTATCAAAATGCATTTATACGCTGAAGGACAGCAGACTGATGCTATTGGTAAGTTGGGAATTAGAGCTCATCTTCTTAAGACATTTTGAATTTCCAATTATTGTCTTAAGAATCTTTGAAGTCAAAAAAAATTGATACTGGCATATTTGAACTTTGAATAAGTTATTGTTGAGTTTTACTCTTTATCTTGGTTTTCATTTAATTAATCATGAAACTTTTGCATTGAACTGAGGTGCAAAAAACTGAAGAAAATTTTTATCTTTGAAAAAAACTTTGTGATATAATGAAGCCATGACTTTTAATTTATTTAGTTGGGCAACTATGAAATAACATGTAGATAAGATGAATGTTGCTGAGATGAGAATGTTAAGGTGGGTGTATGGCGCGACTAGAAAAGATAGAGTTAGGAATGAGTATATTCGTGAATGGGTAGGAGTAGTACTGATAGAAGATAAGTTGAGAGAGAATAAATTGAGAAGATTGAGTCATATACAATGGAGACCAATAGAGGCAGTAGTGAAGAAAGGCGATATAGTGATTGTAGATGGAAGTGTTAGGGGAAGAGGCAGACCTAGCTTGACGTGGGCTAATGTAGTAAACAAAGATATGAATCTCCTTAATTTGACTAACCAAATGACCGTTGATAGAGTCAAGTGGAGAAGAAGGATGTGTGTAGCCGACTTTATTTGATGGGATTTAAGGTTTGGTTTTTGTTCTCATACCTTGTTGGAATGATCAGTGTTCTATAATAAGCCATTATGACATTTTCTACTTTCTCTACAATTTTGGTTGGTTATGTTGAAGTTGTTAAAGAATGCTATAAATTTGTGGAGAACTTAGTGGATGTTATTGGTTAGGATGATTAATGAAGGCTAAGATCTAGTTTCACAGATCGAAACTATAACATTAGCCAATGCCAAGTAGGTTGAACATAGGTTATTATGTTTGCAAAGTGGCTAGCATAAGACTCAAATCTAAGTTCTCATGCTTGTTAGCCAGAATTTTTATCATTGCACCAAGCAATGATCCTTTTGAAGGTACTGTTATGAAAAATGACTCATAGGACCTCTTCTTTGTATATGCTCAAGTGTTCAATGTCTTTTCATCTTCAAGTTACTACTCTCACACACACGTCCTTCATCATATTAGATTGTCATTGTCCTGTCTATATTTCCAGAGCATAAGTTTTGCCATAATTAGGAAGTTATCATGAGGTTATTGTGAGTTTATAAATGCACAGTGGCGTAGTCAGGAATTCCACTCAGTGGGGTCACTCAGAGGGAGAGGGAGAGAGAGAACAAATGAAGGAATGCATCAATGGCAATACAACAATGGTTGTTAGAGAATGAACTGTTAATAGAGCGAATGAATGAACGAACTCTGAGCTAAAATTGACACCACTAAACAATGAATAGTTCTAAATATATATGATATATGTGATATTTATCTAGATTCACTGGGGTCATTTTGTTAAAATTGACACTACTAAACAATGAATAGCTCCAAACACTGGGGTTATTTTGTTAAAATCCAAAACTATTAGACAAAATTCCATATATATTTGAACAAAATTTGAAAGTTCAGTGGTGTCAATTGACACCACTAAACTATACATAGCCCCGCCCCTGTAACTGCATTGGGAGGCTTGTAGCTGGCTCAGCCAAAATGAATAGGAAGACGGATGTTTTCCTTTTCTTTCTAAACCATCTCCGTCAATTGCCAAAATAAGATGCTAGTTGGCATGGTTGATTTTTCTGGGATAAACCAAGTTGTTTTTCAGACTCCATAAATTTTATCTTCTAATTTTTGCTTAATCATCTTCTCTCTACCTATCATAACATGACACGGTTGAAATCACAATAGTTGGTGCAGCTTGGTTGTTATCTGTGTCATTGTATAGGTGTATCCACCAGAATTCTTTTCTTCACTGCTTCGGCATTTTCTTAGTCTTACATTGATAGCCCATACGATGCTTCCAAATAAATGGTTGGTGTTAGAACTGTTGCTTATAAGGTTTAGATTTAGATTTAGTTGCTTATAAGGCGTGATATCGTTTAACTGTCATTTGTCAGAATAAGTAATCATATTTTAAGTTTTTATAGTTAAGCTGAAATACTTAGCTTTGTTGACATGGTACACATGAATAGTATAATGGCTTATTTTGTTTGTACATTTGATTCCCTATATGTTTCCCTGTTACTATGCAGGAGTGCTTATGTGTTTTGGTTTGCGACGAATCTGAAGACGTGTCTACAGCTGCACAGGGTTTTCTTGGATGCCTGTTCTCGTCAAGCAGGAAACATCATGTACAATATGACTTTGCTGAGATCTTTAGCAGGTTTCTTTTTCTCCCTGTAAAGTGACAAAGTGAAACTTGGGCACCTTATCTGGAAAAATGGCTTTAAAATTTGCTTTCAAACAGGCTAATTGAAAAGCTTCCCAAAGTGGTGCTGGGAAGTGAGGAATCACTTGCATTATCAGAGGTTCAGAAATTACTGGTAGTAATTTATTTCTCTGGTCCTCAACTTGTGGCGGATCACCTTCTTCAGTCTCCTGTATGTGCTGCTTCCTTTGTAATGTCCCAGTGATAAGGATTCTATTTATGCTTTATTATTTTTTTTATCCATTTTCTCAAATAAAGGACTTCCATTACATTTTTCCAACTTCTGATGCAACCTGTAGCTTTCTAGAATAGCCATGCTGCTTTGTCTGAATAAAGTGGAGGTGAACTTCAATTTCAAACAATCTAAGCTGTCATACTGTCCTTCTCTACCGTCTAATTCTTTATAATAGATGGAGGTAACTGAAGGGAACATGGAAGACTTCGTGAAATAAGGTGCATGCATAAAGTGTGTGCCACTGCTTTAGTAGAATTTGACAACATGTTGAGTGATCTGAGGTTTAGAGACTAGCAATTCTAATGACGTTTTGTTTTTAATCTACTGACGATGGGTCCACTTTTGCATTGTTTCTCCCTGCTGCTCTCCCATAGACCTCTCATGAATGTTGAGAAACCAGTTTGTTGGCCCTTTTCTGGTTGGCTTATCAATAATTGATCGAAAATTATTGAGACTATATTAGCTTTCATTTACTGAGCTTATCTCTGTACCAGTAGTAGTACTTATTATGTGTGATTCGACTTTGGACCTAAGAAGCACAGACACATGCACGGACACGGTTATGGACACAAGGTTGATGATTTGGTAAATTACACTTTTCATCTTCCAACTTTCACATGAATTTCACTTTGGTTGCTCACCTTCTAATTCCAACAACTAAATCCTCAAACTTCAACTTCTGTTTTAATGTGGTCATTCCATTATCCCATCATTTAATATTTGAGTTAAAGCTGAAACATGAGGGACCAAAGTGGATTTTGAGTGAAAAGTGTAATTTTCACCATAATTCTTTCGTTTAATACTGGTAAAATGTGCTCACATGGCCCTCACATAAAAATTCTGTCCAAATTTTTAACCGTGAGTGATGGGAGAACCACATTGAAACATTGTTGCAAATTGCAATTCGAAAATAAGGGACCAAAGTGGAATTCAAATAGAAGTTGGAGGGTGAAAAGTGTAATTTACCCTTTATTTTTATTCCTTACTTTTTTTTATTTAAAGTGAAAAAATCACTTAATGTATAATTTAGTCATTATTCAACATAGCAATTACTATCTCATTAATCACAGACCGTTAGATCACAATTTCAAAATCATTTAAGTTAAATAATAAATAGGTTGATAAGGAGAGATACTACGGTTGATCTTAATGAAAAGGCCTAGAAAGGTATGTTCAATAATAAATAGATCATCCATAAAAAATCATAAATTACAAGTTGTAGTAGATATCATCTCATATATCATTATATTCTAAGAAATAGGAAACATCAATCAACAACCAACATTAATCAAAAGCACCAAGAAACTTTGACAATTGGTGTGCTTCATGGCTTTGGAGTTTATCAAGTGTGATTATGAACTTTGAAACTTTGACCATTGGATGTTGGGATGATCCGTCACATTTTAAAGGGTGGATATTAACTGGATTATAGATATCTTCTTTCAGAAAATGAAAAAAAAAAATACTAGGAACAAGAAACAAGTGCACTGTGGAGTTTGGTCTAACCTGTCATCTCTCAGATATTACTTCTGCTGTATATTTTTATCTTAATTAATCAGGTCAGAGAGAATTTGCCTTCAGTCTTCTGTAATCTGAATCATTTGCTTGTGTGGAATGCATAGGTGTCAACTGCTAGATTCTTGGATGTTTTTGCCCTCTGCTTGGGTCAGAATTCAGTATTTGCTGGTTCTCTCAAAAAACTTACCTTGGCAAGGCCAGCCTCAACGGGATACCTTCACTCCATAACTGAGATGAGAGCTAGCATTTTCTTTGCCAATGATAATAGGGCCATTACAGATGCTGCTCTCTCTGAAGACTCAAAGTTCCCTAATATCCAGAACAAAAAAATACTATGCCCACTGGAAAATGTACAGAAGGAATACGAGCTTCCACGCATGCCACCTTGGTTTGTTTATGTTGGGAGTCAGAAACTATACCAGGCACTTGCTGGAATACTTAGACTTGTAGGTTTATCTTTAATGGCAGGTTGGCTTTTACAATTCAATTTCTTTGCTTGGATGTATTTCTTTTCTGCTTTAAACTTAGTTTGGGTCTTCTGTTTTTCCTTGTGTCTAGATTCTAGAAGTGAAGGGTCCTTGTCAATTGTCACTGATGTACCACTGGACTACTTGCGGAAATTGGTATCAGAGGTTCGGGTGAAAGAACACCGCAAAGAAAGCTGGCAATCTTGGTGCAATAGAACTGGCTCAGGACAGTTGGTGCGGCAGGCTAGTACTGCTGTTTGTATTTTAAATGAGATAATTTTTGGTGTATCAGATAAAGCAGTTGATGCTTTTGCAAGGATGTTTCAGGGGTCTAGGTTAAGATGGGAGGAGATAGAGAGATGTGGGGCAGAATATGATGATGTTCAGGTTTGCAAGTTTGAACATCCTGTGCTTTCTGCATCCATTTGGAAGAGTTCTCAGGAGAAGGCTGCAAGGAGCCACTTGATTGATAGCATTGGCAGAATATTACATGAATACCTAACTCCTGAAGTGTGGAGTCTTCCTTTAGAGCATAAATCGTCTCTCCAGCAGCCTGACAGTGAAGTTGAAGACATTACTCTGCATTTCTTCCATGATGCTGCTTTGCTATACCAGGAAATATACATTTTCCTTCACCAATACTGCACACAATTTATTGAATGTTACCATTATCTTGTTATGGTTGGATTGCAGATTTTGAAGTGCATCAAATTCATTTTACTGAATAGGTTATCATTGATTGGATGGCCATTATGTTTAATCTTTCATCAATTTATATGGTTGGATTTCAGATCTTTGATGTACATGGTATTGATATTGGTGTTGTTTCTTGAAACAGGTTATCATTGATGGGATAGGCATTTTTAGTATGTGCCTTGGGAACCTTTTTTCTTCTTGTGGATTTCTTCATTCATCTCTTTATGTGTTGCTTGAGAATCTAATTTGCTCAAACTTCCAAATAAGAAGTGCAGCTGATTCTGTCTTACATGTCATTTCTACATCATGTGGTTATCCAACAGTGAGTATACATGGTAAAAAAAATGCCTCAATAGTATTTGGATTCCATTGTTAATGACCTCCTTTTTGCAGGTAGGGCACTTAGTTTTGGCAAATTCAGACTATGTCATTGATTCCATATGCCGACAGTTACGTCATCTGGATCTTAATCCTCATGTACCTAATGTGCTTGCTGCCATGCTTTCTTATATTGGAGTGGCCCATCAAATATTGCCATTGTTGGAGGAACCGGTATGTTTATTGGACTGCGCATCCTCTGCATAATTTTGGAGAAGTAACTTGCTCTTGTTCTAGTACGTCATGAAGACTACATTTTTAATATTTTTGGAATATTATAAATGCCCGTTTTCTTCTTCTTCTTCTTCTTTAACAAGTCTCACTAACAAGATTTGATTTTAAGAAATTTAGTTCTCCCAAGCTTTTGAGCCTTGCAAAAATTATAATGTGAACTGACTGACTTGCCCATGATTTTTGTATTGTTTTCCTTTTCTTTTTTCAACCCTTTTGTTTCTTCTTGTAATCAATAATTTGTTTCAATTTATCCAAAAAAATAAAATAATAATAATAATAATAATAAATAAATAAATAAATAATTTGTTTCAATTCTTTATAAGTATCGAATTGTAATCCTTGTGGCCTAATAAAATTGTACAGATGCGCTCTGTTTCGCTGGAACTTGAGATTCTTGGCCGCCATCAGCACCCAGACTTGACTATTCCCTTTTTGAAGGTGATATTTGATAGAAGTATTTAATGTTTTCCTTTACCATTTTTTTGTTTGCTCTTATTGATTGCTGTTCCAGTTTGACAAGTGTTTGATGGGGATAGAACAACATAATTGCTTATTTTTAATATATACTGTGTCTCACCTGACATTAAGTTGACACAAGAAGTACGGATATGGACACGGACACATGATGTGACACAACACAAACATGTCAACTCAACAATTTTTAAAACATGCAGGGCACAACGCTCAGAAAACATCTACAGAATAAATAATTTTATATATTTGTTATGTGTAATATAAATAAATATTTCATTAAAAGATAATTAAAAAAATATAACATATCACTTACTTATAAAGTTCAAAGGAGAAGTGATTAATGGATATAAATTTACGTAGTTTTTCTCTTATTGTTGGATACCAAGTTATTTTGTTCAAACTTGTTATGCGTGTCTAAATGATGGATATGTGTATCTTTCAAGTGTCTAAAGTGTGTCTCGGTCTAAATAAATTTAAAAACAACAGGGCTTGTTTGGACTTGAGTTTGATAGTGTCAAGAGTTTTATTTATCAAAAATAAAACATAAAAAAGATGAGTTGATAGTGTCAAGCAGTGTCTGACGGGTGTTGGGGTCAACACGGACACACCACCTTCTTAGTTATAACCTTGCACGTCTCATTTCCACACTGATATTTGTGGGCTAATATCTTGATATGGCATTATGTATTGATGCATATTTTGATCAATGTGATTAGTATTTGGAAAATATCGTCTTGTAAATTATTTTCTTTCACTAGGCTGTTGCTGAAATTAACAAGGCTTCAAAGCGTGAAGCTTGTTCACTGCCCCATCAGGCAGCAGAATATTTGGAACATGTGAAGTCAAAAATGTCTGATTTTGAAAAGAAGACAATGAAGGAATCAGTTTTTTCAGAATCAAGCTATGATGATGACATTGATATGTCTCCCATGGAATCAGGTTAGTATATTTGTGATTTTCTAATCGAGTGTGGATGTGGGATTTGTGACCAAGTTTTTGCAGTGAGCAGAAGCTGAAACTCTTCTAACACTATGGCATAAGATGTTTGATTTTTATCAAAACAATGCAAGTGTGGATTAAATTCAAGTAGTCAACTATGGAGATGATTAGTGGCAGAGTCAGAAAATTAAATTAGAGGGGCACTTATTAATTACAATCAGTGTGTTTGGTTTCGGTTTTCTGAATTCAGTTTTTTGAAAACTGAGTTTTTTAGTTTTCGTGTTTTTTTGTTTTTAGTGAATATTTTTAAAATTTTAAATATTTTTTAATATTTTTTTAGATGCACCTTACTTAGATGTATCTAAAAAGTACAAAAATTGTGAAAAAATATTTTAAAAAATTAATAAATACATAAAAATACAAAAAATGTACTGAATTCTCATATTTTTTTTGTATTTTTGGTATTTAGTGAATTTTTAAAAGGTTTTTTTCACAATTTTTTTACTTTTTAGGTATATTTATGTTAGGTATGGCTAAAAATTAAAAAAAAATTGCTTAAAATATTAAAAAAATTCATTGAAAACATTAAAATATGAAAAATGAAAAAGTAGAATTTTCTGTAAACAGTTTTCTAAAAACTGGAACCAAACAAGCTGAATAGTTTTTACAAAAATATTTCATGTAAGTTTTTACAATTCATTTCAAGAAACATCAAAAAAAAATAATCAGTGTGTTTGGTTTCAGTTTTTTGAATTCAATTTTTTGAAAACTAAGTTTTTTATTTTTCGTATTTTTTTGTTTTTAGTGAATATTTTTTGAATTTTAATTAATTTTTTTACTTTTTTTATATGCACCTTACTTAAGATATATCTAAATAGTAAAATATTTGTGAAAAAATTAATAAATACACAAAAATATAAAAAAAATACTGAATTTTCGTTTTTTTTTTTGTATTTTTTGGTATTTAATGTATTTTTTAAATATTTTTTTTTTTGTATTTTTTGGTATTTAATGTATTTTTTAAATATTTTTTTCACAAATATTATACTTTTTAAGTGTATTTATGTTAGGTGTGTCTAAAAATTAAAAAAATTTGCTTAAAATATTAAAAAAATTCATTCAAAACATTAAAATACGAAAAATAAAAAAGTAAAATTTTCTGAAAACTGGAAACAAACAAGCTGAATGTTATTTGTAACTAGTGTATCATGGACAATACAAAAAAAAATATGGATATAAGTCTTAAAATAAATTATATAATGATAAATTATTTTTTGATACAAAATTTGATTAAGAATTCAATATAATGGTAATACCACGTCATCATTGATATGTGATATCACCCACTAATAGTAAATAAACACATAAAGAGTGAACTTCACATGTCAAATATAATTAACAATCCAATAAATTTATATCTTTATAGTGAGATTATATATACTTGCATATCACTAATAATGGCATTGTCGTTACCTTAAAAAAAATTTCATAGCTAATATGGTTTATTTATAGTAGTCTCTTCATTTTCAATCAAAATAGCCATTATTGTTCTTATAATTTTTAAAATGTTATTGACATTTCACTCTAATAATGTTTTTGTAATTTTTTATTAAAAATATTTTCTCTATGTTTGCAAAAAGAGAAAAAAAAAAAAAAAAAAAAATCCCATAATCTTGGGGGGGGGGGGGGGGGGCACAGAACCCTTGGGTCTCATGCTCCTCCGCCACTGGAGATGATAATTGGTTTCCCAATTTTATTCTATTCACCCAGACAATTTTGTCCTTTGGTTGTGTATATGAGTGGATATTATGATTAGTGATTAAAAAAATATTAAAAAAAAAAAAACCAAAAAAATTGAACTACTTTTATTAAACCTCCCTTCCTACTTTTTTGTTGTAAATATATTTCCGACATTATTCAGGTGCTTATATGTTCCACTTCTGGAATCATTTATTTGAACATGACGGGGTCCTGTTAAAATAGTTGAAATATTGAAGAAACTAGAGGAATGTTCCAGAGGTGCTTAATCTATTTAGTTCATTGGCAAATTGTTTGCAATGTTCATTCTCCATGGTCATTAATGTTAATTTTTACTACTAGTTTTGTTTGTCATCAGTTAGATTAGAATTCAGAATGTTGAAAGGGTTGTTTGCTTCAGACTAAAAAAAAAAAACTCGTGGGTAAATTGAAGGCATACTTATCATCTATTAGTCATTTTCATACCTTTGCCCCTGAAACACCTTGAAGGTACATTTCTATTAGTCATTTTCATGCCCTTGCCACTATCAAATTTTCACTTTCTTTAAGTTTGATTACTTATATGTATTCTACAGCAAGAGGCATTATAATGGTGAGTTGCCAAACCTTATAGCTTCATGGAAATGCTTCCAAACTTAATTCAGTCCTGCATGGTCAAATGAAATTTTTTGCTGCTTTGTAAATCAAAGTTTTGGATTGCAAGGCAGTTAGGTAAACCTAGAAAGTTTCATAAAATAACATGTCGTGGCATCAGTTTTATAGTTAGAGGCTTGTGATTAGTCCTGCTTTTACCAAAACCATTAGAGAAGATTTATGTCATACCTTCTTTACTAGGACACATTAATTCCTAGAAATGGTCGTAGGGTTGCAATTTTGGATTTTGCATTCTAGCTTGAAAAAAACTGCTCTTTGTACCAAACAGCTTGCCCCTTCCCTCCTCTCTAGAAAAAGAAAAATTTCATTAGAGGCCATGATTGAAAGGTTATAATTTATACAGATTGCAAATTTATGATTTCTATAAGACGCTGTATGAGAATGCTGTTTAATTGTTCTATTGTTTTATTTTTATATATTTCTGTTGGTTGTCATGCTTGCACTTATAAAGATGTTTATTTTCTTTTATTTTTTGTTGTGCTTTTAGCCTTCCAAGTGCTTCTTGGATACTGATTATTTTCTGCTTGCATCTGTTTTTAGCTAATGTATACAGCCTTAATTGTTATACTCTTTGTTTCCGTCAATACTTTTGGGTTGCCTTTGTTTAACTGATTATAATTTATAAATAAGAACTTAAATGCAAGTTTTGTGTGTGATTTTTCCTGATTTCTTTCCTCACCCACAATGATTGGATTCTGAGAATTATTTTGATATTGTGCTGAGGAGAAGAGGTGGGTGTGTGCTTTCATGATGTTGGCACAACTATAGAGCAGTGGGAGAGTGTTTTGTTCAAATTGAATGATTCTAAAAGATATAGAAGAACAGTTGGATCTATTGCTGGTTCATGTGTAACGGCTGCAACCCCACTGCTCACTTCATTGAATCAAGCAGCGTGCTTGGTAGCTCTGGATATAATTGAGGTATATTTCTGTTTGAGTTTGCATATCTTCCCTTTCCTACAGTTGTTTTTTTGATCATGTGACGTTCAAGCTATGCTCTTATGCTCTCACATCAATCGTGGTTCTTGTTTTCTAGGATGCCATTATGGCCTTGTTTTTTTATTTTTTTCATTCATGATGATTCTTCTTTTGTAGGATGGCATTATGGCACTTGCAAAAGTGGAAGAAGCATACAAGCATGAGAGGGAGACTAAAGAAGCAGTTGAGCGAGTGTTTGAGTTGTGTTCATTTCACACACTCAAAGATACTTTGGATGCTGCCGAGGATGGAACTGCTGAAAATAGGTTGCTTCCAGCAATGAATAAAATATGGCCATTCTTGGTTGCTTGTATACAAAATAAGAACCCACTGGTGCGTGCTCTCTGACTTCCTTTGGCTAGCTCCTTTGGCTCTGAATCCTTTGCTTATAATTTTCTTGGAGCATCTCCTTCCCTTCTAATAAACAAACAAAATGTTATGATATCCTTCTTTTTTTTTTTTTTTTTTTTTTTTTTTTACTCTTTTTCGCAACATATTCACGTGTTGGGCCTTTTCTTTGGTATAGTGCCCCTTTAATTTGCATTTGAAATTTGCTGGTAATTCTATCAAATTATCTTTGCCTATTTTTAAATTTTAACTCAAGTCAGTTTCACAGGCTGTTAGGAGATGCGCGCGTGTGATAAGCAATGTCGTGCGAATCTGTGGAGGAGATTTCTTTTCTCGTCGCTTTTATACTGATGGACCCCACTTCTGGAAGCTTCTTACCACATCACCTTTTCAGACCAAACCTATCTCAAGAGAAGAAAGAACCCCCTTGCAACTTCCTTACAGAAGCACCCCCATATCTTCAGAGGTCTCGATGGCTGAGGTTTCCAACCTGAAGGTCCAGGCAGCATTGCTCAATACGATTGCTGATTTATCCCGGGAGAAAAAGAGTGCTTCAGCATTGGAAGCAGTCCTCAAAAAGGTCAGTGGCCTTGTTGTGGGGATAGCTTGTAGTGGTGTTGTAGGTCTTCGTGAGGCATCTGTGAATGCCCTTGTAGGACTCGCATCCATGGATCCCGATCTTATTTGGCTTCTATTGGCGGATGTTTATTACTCAAAGAAGAAAGACATGCCTTCACCACCTACCTCGGATTTACCAGAAGTGTCTCAGATTTTGCCCCCACCCTCGTCTCCTAAGGATTATCTTTACGTGCAGTACGGAGGGCAGAGTTATGGTTTTGAAATTGATTTTTCTTCTGTGGAGACGGTTTTCAGGAAATTGAATTCCCTGGTTTTTATTTCACAGGTGTACAGTTAGACTATGTATGTATGTATTTGGTGTACATTTAAAAGGAAAAAGGGAAATATACAAGAGTTAATCATTTACAAATTAGTTCTCTCTAATTTGGTTAGACCCTACTCTGCTCCATGAATTCAAAATTAAAAGTGACAGTGATAACAGCCAGCCCTCCAAAGAAAATAAAAGTAAAGAGACCAGACCATTATCTTCAACCTCGACTTTATTCTCAATATCCGAAAGCATTTCAACTAAAATAAGCTCGATATTTATGGCCCTACTACAGAAAAGTTTCAAATAAGGAAAGAAACACAATTCTAGTTCCAAAAGATTCAACTAGACAATTGTATGTATGGCTTTTGAGTTGTGTTGTGTTACTCTGATTGTTGGGCGCTTATAGGCTAAAAGGAATTATTTTATATCTGTAATGATTCATCCATCATCTCTCCAGAAAAGATGACGGTTGCCAATCACTAAAATGTCTCAAGTAATTTAATTTTCTGAAGGGAAAAAAAGAAAAGAAAAAGAGAGGGGGGGGTGTTTCTCTTTCTTGAACACATAACTTCCATCATTCACTGGTTTTTGGCAAACTGAAAAAGTCAAGAGTAAGCAACCTGCATCTTCAGACAAAAACATGTATGTGTTTCTAAGAGATCTAAACACCCTAAATTTATCATTCTTAGGATAGTTGCTAACATAGGAATCTAAAGCAGCAGTAGCAGCAGAAAAAAGAAAAAGAGAGGTTTTCTCCAAACTGGGAAAGTGGTCAGAATAAGGAATTCAACATCTTAAAACAAACATGTATGATATCTAGAAACAAAGATAGGATTTCAAAATCAGAATGGCTAAACAAATTTTCAAGTACAACAACCAAAAAACCCCACATCAGTTCTATACAATTCTACCTTGAGATTCTTCAGTATGAAACTAACACGAGTCCACAAATAAAACTGCAACAAGAATTTGAAAAAACAAATAATCCCAAATCTGTTTATTTAATCTGATAAAAGAATTTGAAAAAGAGTATATGCATTCAATCAAATGCGCAGCACGATAACAAGGTAAGTCTACGATGGCAGGTTCTGTTAATTGGAGCTGACAACCCTCGAGCAAGTGAGCTGGACCTGTACTTGAGATCCACTGAGAATGCCAAGGTTAGACATCCTCACCGTGGCTCTAACAAAATTGACCCGAAAGGTTGTGCCGTCATCAGATGCATAAGCTGTCACGAGATCAGTAGTCTCTTGACTGGTCATCAACTGCTGATCAGCAAAGAGAAGTCCTCTCCCTCTCAGCAATCTTTGGTAGTAATGTGCATCAAAGACTGATCCCCATGAGATTTTGAAGAAGAGAGTGCTATCCCCATCATACTTCTCGATCTCATGGGAGAAGGAGCCACTCCATCCGACGAAGTGCTATTCCCATCACCGCAAATCATGCTCATCTCTGAAAGAAAATCAAAGGGTATAGATGGGTTGGGCTGTCTGGTTCCCATAAAACTGTCAAGTCTTGGTCGGATGAAGTCGCAACTGATCTTACCAATGTTATGCCCACCTTGCAAAATAGAAATATTTCAGTTTAAAGCTGTAAGTGGGAATTCAATTTAGTAAAGTTAGTATGATCTAAGGGAAGTAAAGAATGAGTGAATACTGAGAAAAGCCACGAAAATATGACATATCAGATTAAAGGCCACAATTCAGGAAAGGGTCGATAGAAAGAACAATAGAAACAGAGAGAAGTAAATGAGCAAAATCTGGTAAATATATATTTTTTGAACTGGAGAAAAAGATGGAAATTCAACACAGATTTGAAATTTCTAAACCCCAAAGGTAGAGGTGCATACTGTGTAAGCAGTTATATTGGAGATTCGAGGTGTGTGAAAAAAAATCTCAAGAGAATTTCTTTGAGATAATTGCATACCTTCTCCAATCTTCAATCTGACTTCTGTCATGATTAATACTCACTTTAAGTTTAGGTTCATAAATTCAAATCAAATTTGATGCATGAGGCATGAATCTTCATGTATGAATTCTATTAATAATACTTGAGCCTGTATTTAATCACTATATTTTGATGATTATATTCATAAGATCAAGAACAAGAGACAGAGATTGCTGTGTGTTTTATTGGAGAACCCATATGATTCACTCATTACATGGAATTCAATGGTTGTCTACCAAAATCAAGAGACAACATTTATTTCTACACAGTAGATGTAGTATTATTTACTCCAATTTTATCAGATATCAGATATGTGTTGTAGGTAATAGAGATGCATCAATTGCTTCAATATATTATCAATGAAAAAGCTTCTTGAATGATGCGGATGCAGATGTCAGTGATGGTATAAAACCTTGGAAGTAAAGCCTTCAAAGAGGTAGAACTTGGAAGGAGGGAAGAAAATGCAGACACAGAAACTTAGGATGGAGGGAAGGGTGGGGATCATTGTGAGGGACTATTTGGGCAGAGTAATTGCATCATGCACCGAACAGTTACCTAGCTTTTCCGATGTGTTGAGGCTATTATGGGGACATTGCGGGCAACGATTTTTGAAAGCTAATTAGGCATTTCCCATGCTCACTTTGAGGGAGATTGTGAATTCACGGGTACAGGTTGAAGATTTTTCCAACGTTGGCACCGTTATTGGGTGCTATCACTAATGGAACTTCACTCATGTTTCGAATGGCTTTACGGTTTGGATGGAAGAAGCAGCACCTCCTTCTGCTGCATTCACAGTGACAGTATATCTTGTTGTATCTGAATTGAGTTAGTTTTTCTTTGTTTGTCTCATGATGTTTTTTTTAGTAAGCGATGTGGGACTGTGTGTTGTATTTATTTTTGCTGGGACACCCATTACTTCCATACTCAATCTGGATGTGGGATTTAACTATAAATGGAGTTGCAAATTTGAAAAATTATACACGGGGCCTCCGTAAACCCAACGGTTTACGGCACCCAATAAAAAAGTCCCACTCCCTTAACCGATTTATTAGTTATTAGTAATTTACCCTATTTTTTATTATTTATTGTCTTCCAACTTTAATTTATTGTCTACCCAAAAAATAAAATGAAAAAATAAAAACTTAAGGCAACCATAAAACAAACTTAACCCATTCCATAAAATAGTTGGTATCTATTGGAGGCTGGAAACTTGTTGAAAAGGGGAAGAGGTTACCAAGCAATGAAACTTGTTGAAAAAAAGAAGAGGTTTAGAGATAGAGAACGAATAGAAGTCTTAATGTCTTTGCTGTCAAGCAATGAAACCTATATATACAAGTGTCTACTTCTCTTCTTTTTATATTAATATATTGTGTCAGCAGTTATATTGGAGACTTGAGATGGTGTGTGTGAAAAAAAAATCTCATGAGAATTTCTTTGAGATGATTGCATTACCGTCTCCAGTCTCCAATCTGACTTCTGTCATGATTTAATACTCAGTTTAAGTTTAGGCTCATAAATTCAAATCAAAATTTAATGCATGAAGCATGAATCTTCGTGTATGAATTCTATCAATAATACTTGAGCCTGTGTTTAATCACCAACTCACCTCCCCAAACACCTGTTTCCCGCCTTTATTTATTTATTTATTTTTGTTTCTCCCAACCCAAGTTTGATTTATCAAATTCCGTTGAGTCTGATCGAAGAACAACAGTTTCAATCATGTCAAGCACGGTTTCTCGTGGATGGGTATTCATGGTGGTGGTGATGGTCTCTGTTCTTGCTGGGGCTATCAATCTCAATCCTTCTTCTTCTTCTTCTTCCGATTCTCCGACTGTTCCCTTGGATTCGTCTTCTGCAGTTGGGTTCTCCGATTTTAATCTGGGATTGAGTTTCTTTACATGATTGTGTGCATATTGTTGGGTTTCTTCGTATTTCTGATCTGATAACTTCATTGTTCAAATGGGTTTCAATCATGCCTCCTCTGTTTCTTTCATCTAAACTACAATCTGGCTGTGGAGCTTTTCTTGTTCTTAGCCTTTATGATTATCTTTCTTTAAATTCTGTTGTTGATTATGTTCCTTCGAATTGGGTTCTCTGATTTTAATCTGGGTATTGAGTTTCTCGTCTTGATTATGTGCATATTGTTGGGGGTTTCTTTGTAATTTATGGTGCTGCTATCAATCTCAGAACACACTTTGATCTCCAAAGCTATGACCATCCATCATTAATAAACATTAATATCCCAAAATTTGGTACTGAATATTAATTATCATACTAGTAATCATATTGGATATTGAAAGGTTTAAGAATATTTCTTAAAGAAAAATCTTACCTCCACAACTACCATCGGTTATAGGTTACTTGAAAGCAAAGCAAACGAGTGTTCTATTCCCACCCTAACACTGAATTAAACTAATTATCTATTTATCTACTATTATATACAAAAGTGAGGAAGGCAAAATCTTCACAATTTTTTTCTACAAAAGGTTGGTTTGAGAATTGGTTTTTTCTAATGATTTTTTTTCTTTTTTATTTTATTAAAAAATGAGAAAAAATAAGGGGAATGAATTGAATTTTTGTATTATTATTATTATTATTTTTTTGACTATTTTAACCAATTGTCAAAAATAAAAATAAAATATTACCATAAAAATTGATACTTTCATTTTTGTATTTTTTTTATCATTTGAATCCAGTACATATATGGTGCAAGCAACACTTTGAACTTTGGTACCGTTAATTATGTTGCTCATTTTTACCGAAATCCAATGACAATCAATGGCATGCTTGATATGTAAAGGAGTAATGATAGAGTCTCAAAAAGTTCTATTAAAAAAGGTTCTATAAAGATGTGTGTTTCACATCTATATAAAATATTTGGTATAATTTTTAAAATCTCTAGCATTTTCGTATGTACAATTGACCCCTTGTGCTTAAGTTGAGCTAAGGTCACTAAAACTTTAATTTGGACGATTTGCATTTATATTTGGCCTACATTACATAAAATAAAGAGAAAATTAGTGAAACATTTATCTTCAATTTTGTGTAGTAAGAGAGGTGTAAGATGTTTTTTTTATTAGTTAAGGTCTTTCCATAAAATTTATCTATGATCATTCCGGAGAAATTTCAAAATTTCTCTGTGTCAGGTCCGAAAT